GACATAGGAAATGGCCATATATGATCATGTAACCTCATTAATATGCATAAGCATATGGCTCATTTTATATCTGAAAACCATATTTTGATAACAAAAACCAGGTAAATACATGGAACCAACTGTATTTCAACCTCTTGTTACTAATCAAACTACGTGATTGTCTATCATGTGACCTCATTAATTATGAAACAAAATCGAGTTAGCTTTTATATATGGCCAAACCTTTAACGAAAATAAAATAGTTTGGGTCAGTCATACTGTTTGATCATCCTATTGTATTTTTTCCCAAATATGAGCAACAATTTTGCATGATATTTTGTGTATATGTGAAAGCATTTGTATGGGAATGGATTGAAATTAAACTGAAGGTCACCATTATGCATCTTCAGTGTGGGTCTAGGCACTCTGGATTTATGATAGAATTAATGCTATATAGGGTACCTATTTCTTCAACACTAACTTACATGTCACGCGACTTTTCCTGCAATTTTGCATTTTGAGAATTTGTAAAGCCATTAGCCATCCCACCTGAATAAATTTATGTTGGCAGATTTGTTCAAATGATGACAATAAACTCAATTTCTAAACTGGTCGAAATTGTTGAATTGTTTTATTTTCTGAATTTAGCAATCTGCAACTTTTTTTCTAACAATTCAACAGTTTGTTTTGGCGTGTCAAATTGTACGACAATACGTTGCACAATTCCGGAATACCCTATTTGTGAAATATTTTTGGGTTTTACCCAAAAAGACATGGGATTATTGTATAATCATATTAATTACAAGATTTTCCCCAGTCAGTGATATATGTTTGTATTCAGTAAATGGCCGACAGTGTGTGGGTGTAGATATTACATATTGTAATACAACTTTTTGAAAACAAATTACATTTGTTTTGGTGCATATACTGACAGAAAATGCAATAATAAAGAAAAACAAAATGTGTTCAAGTTCTATGATAAATTTATTGAAATAACAATATCATCAGTCTGGCTAAAACTACTACTGCTACTACTACTACCATCATCATCACTACTACTACTAAAACGATATTTCATTCTGTTTGATTTTTTGGATCTTACATTACAAGTAACTTCATTGAGGTCTTGCACATTTTATTCCGGAAACCAAATTGGATGGCAAGTAATTGATGTCATGTACAACGCATCACAGTTTCAATAATGCTTATATAGTGCAGTTATGGTGCCCAGGATGTAATATTCCAATGTTGCACTCACTGCTGAAATACAAACCACTGCAGGCATCTTCAATATCACCATGTATGAGTCTTAAGTATTGACAATGAATGACAGCATCAGTGATGTCTTGTATAGTTCATGTCAGAAGCCGGGATTAAATGATTTCAATGTATTAGTCATTACATGTATGGCTAATATTATTGTGTATCCATCAAGAACTCCATTTGGTAGCATTATTGTTGGCTTATATAGTTTTCTGTACAGTGCTTCTGATATTCTTTAGTGCACTGCAGATGCCCAGAATGAATTCTCCTAATGTTGCAGTCACTACTGAAATACAGCCCATTGCAGACATTTTTAATATCACCATGTATGAAGTCTCATCAGTGATGTCTTGTATAGTTCATGGCAGATACCAAGATGGAATGATTTCAATGTCGGTCATTATTGAAATGCATAGTTCCCTGTAGATACAAAGTCGAAAGGTATTGTTCGACAGGTTCATGGCAACATGTATGGCACATTTTATGTGTCCATCAAGAGTTCCCTTTGGTAGCATCATTGTTGGCTTATATTGTTCACTGTAGAGACTCGGATAAAATGATCATAATGTCACATTCATTACTTGGCTGTACAATCCGTTGCTGATAGAAAGATCCAACGGTATGTTTTGTAGTTCTAATGTTGAAATAAATGACTCTTGCTATGCATCCATCGTGAGCTCTGATTGGTAGTATCATTTCTGGCTTGTATGGCTGTTTAATGCAAATGAGCATGATACATTGCATGAAGCCATATTGTAATGTCATTGTCATCTTGTTTGGCTTCCTTGATGTATTGTACAGTTCGTCTGTTAATACAAATACTGAACAATATACTGGCCCGTATAGCTAAAACAATGTGATGGATGACATATTTGATATTACATACTTGTAACTAAAAAAGTAATGTCATTGTCATCTTGTTTGGCTTCCTTGATGTATTGTACAGTTCGTCTGTTAATACAAATACTGAACAATATACTGGCCCGTATAGCTAAAACAATGTGATGGATGACATATTTGATATTACATACTTGTAACTAAAAAAGTAATAGTAATTAGTAATAAAAGTAGTACTAGTAGTAGTAGTAGTGTCAAAATATAGTGCTGATGTTAAATTACATTAAGTATCTGTGTTGGTAGTTATAACATACATGATCATGTAGTTACATAATTATATAGTAATACAAACGTAAATTTAATTCATGTTACAGAATTGCTAAAACTTACAACAGGGTTGATATGATAACATAGCACCCATGTAACAATATAAATACCCTGTCAATACAAAACACAACTTGTCAACAAGGTGGATATCATCATAATGTACTCATGTGCCCAGGTAAACTACCATGTCAACAAGGTGGATGTCATCACAAGGTACTCATGTGACAAGATAAACCACCCTGTCAACAAGGTGGATATCATCACAATGTACTCATGTGACCAGATAACCTACCATGTCAACAAGATGGATATCATCACAAGGTACTCATGTGACAAGATAAACCACCCTGTCAACAAGGTGGATATCATCACTTGGTATTCACGTGACAAGATAAACCATCTCTTCAACAAAGTGGATATTCTCATAGAATATATTGTATATAATGACATTTAAACAGTATGCAAGTTAAACACAAAGTATAAGGTACGCAATCAATGTACACGTACAAGTTTCGCAGATAAAATAATGAGAATGGATGAAGTGAAATGGTGTAACTGCATTCAAACATACAATATTCTATATAAGCAAAAACATACATTTTTCATTTTCTTTTCACTGCAATAATTCTACGCAACTATTAGTTTCTATATTATATTACACTGTAATCAAGGAAAAAAATATGGCATAAGCGTTTACTTAATTACTGTGGGTAAGACATTAAAAATAATCTTTGTATATCATAACTGCTTTAAATTTAAATTCATTAAAATACATAACAATTTGAATAAAATGTGCAAGTAATCATGGTACATACACTAGTAGTAACATAGTTTTGACAATGATTGTGGTATGTAGCAGCGACTGTCCTCAAATTACAATATATACAGTGACAGCCACTGTATAATTCATATACAAAATGCAAATCATTACAAGGTAGTCATGTGACAGATAATCTATCCTGTGAATACCACAATGAAAGTGATGTGAGCAAATCACCAATAAGTCAGGTGAATTTATAACCTGGCTTATGAGCAATATTGATATCAAGAGACCTTATTTGTCAATAGAATTGTCAACAGGATGGATATTATCATGCCACATGAACAACAAAGCAAGCTAGTAATCATATGCATATAAGTTTGAAAAAATTTGGAACATCCATAAATTATGCAGGGTATACACTAAATTTAGTAATGAAAATATTGATGACATTTGCACAGGCTAAATCAAGTATTCAAGCTAGAAAATAAGTTAAATACCAGTTATAAAAGTTATAAATCCATTATCAATATGTTAAATTATCAGTTTGCCACCCATTTACTATTTCTATTATCTACAAAGATACTCCACAAGCAAACTGTCTGCAATTATAATAAATAGAGCAATGAAAGACAAATATAAAAAGTAAAAAATATAAAATATAAAAAAAATGTATGATACAATTACATACGTCTTGAAGACTGGCACCCCCCCAAAAAAAACCCCACCCTCTGCATACTTTATGGATGTTTCCCACAATAAAATGAAGAAAAAACAAAATACAAAAAAGAGGGAGCCGCAAGATCTATCTCTCCCTACACTCAGAAAATAGTTGCGAGGAGTGGGCACTCATTATTATTTGAAACGGCGGATATAATACATATGGTTATCTTTTGTATCAAATCAAATAAGTATACGTATAGCTTCATGAAAACTAAAATATCGTGGCTGAACTGTAACTGTAACACTTTCTATACCTTTGACATACACATGGTCAATAAGTGTGCCAGCCTCTGTAGTTCCTTGACATACACACTGCCTATAACCATGTTCTTGCAGTAGCTTCATAATTGATGAAGAGACAAAGATATTTTGGTTGAAATCGCCCATAATAATTGTTCCACCTTGTTGTTTATCAAGTTCCTCCACAAGAACAAGTAAACTTTCTCTGAATATCTCTAGCTGATATGATGCTGGTCTGTATATAACAGCAGCTGTTAAATTCAAATTAGTTAAACAAAATACCATGCATTCCATATTTGATATTGGCAAGTTCAAAATCTTAAATGATTTGTTTTGTTTTGCATATACTGCTACACCACCATGACACTGATCCATCAACTTTGCTGTATTGTCAGTAGATCTATTGTAAGAAAGACGTCTTGGTTTGTGATTAAAACTAAATCCTTTCAATTCAATGTCAAACTCGGGTTCTCTGTCAGTTAACCACGTTTCAGTAAGACATATAACATCAGACATCAGGAATGCATTATCGTTTTGAATGTCTTGAATATGAGACTGTAGACCCTGAACATTATGCATAATCAAAGTACACATGTAGTTTGCGCTCGACTGCTCTGATAGCTCAGTGATGAACTTTGGCATGTTTTCCAACGCAGCTTGCACTTTCTCATTGCAATAAATTGCCGATGTTTGAAATCCCTGCACAATGAGTCCACTCAAATTTGTCACGCGACTTAAAGCCACATAAGCCTGTCCTGATGTAAAGATTTTTTTCAAGTTGACGACAGCTCTGTTTACAGTTAAGCCTTGTACTTTATGAACTGTGCAAGCCCAAGCTAACTTAAGAGGAAACTGTCTTCTGATACCACCATTTGGTGCAACAGTGTCCTCATTAACTTTAATCATAGTGCTATTTTCTGGTAATGTTGAAGCGATTGCACTCTTCTTCCGTAACTTTTCACCCACTTTGGCATTATCAAATACTACATATATTGCAGAAGGAAAATTATTTCCTGGTGTCATAGTTATGTGATTTACAGTTCCAAATACACCATTAACTAATCCATCTGAAACATCTATGTTTTTTGTAAGTTGCACTCTCGCACCAATAGCTAGAGTAATACTTTCTGGTAAAAGACTCATGTAAACCTTCTTATGAGGCATTTCATTTCTTTCTAATTTACCTGTCTTTGCATTTTTGGTAAAATCTTGAGCCTCAATAAGCACTGGATCTGTGCATAACTTATGAAGCATCATTACATTGCATGTGTTAACCTGTGCATTTGTACCAAAAATATGAATTGCATCAGTTTCCTCACCAGTTTCCCGACCTTCAAGCATTTCAACATCAGTAGAGGACAGTGCCTCTCCTTTCTTATGAATTCGTAGCCTATTAAGTGTCTCAGCGAATGCAACATCTGTCTGTCTCATTATTTCAGTTAATTCAGCAAACATGAAATTATCTTTCCAAAGACTTACAATCTCGTTTCCAACACATAATGGGTTTCCTTTTACAGGTGGGAGTTGGTAAAAATCACCACATGCCATGACACAAACATTACCAAATGGTGAATGACTGCTAATTTGTTTAATCTGTCTTAATCGACCATGGATATAAGCAAGTAATTTGTGATCCACCATAGAAATTTCATCTATGACTAAGATTTGAAGAGTGCTTAGCTTACAACGAACGCTATTAATCTTATCATTACCCAGTGGTATATATGGTAGCTTGGTATTAACTGGTATTGATAAAGCACTGTGCACAGTCATACCTCCAATATTAAATGCAGCAACGCCTGTTGGTGCTGTTAAAAGTACAGAAATATCATCAGGATTTGGTAACGAACGAGCAAGAATGCGTGTAGCTTCATAATACACAGATTTGATTAAATGACTTTTTCCAGTTCCAGCTCCACCAGTGACAAACACAAAAAATGGGTCTGGGTTCAATCCATTGCTTTTATCCAAACACCACTGTCGGATTTTGTAAAATATTTGAGATTGTTTCATATTCAATTTTCTCAGCATCGACTGTCCCTCAATCTTTGACGTTGAACAAGGTGGTACTACAGCATGGCTATCTGCAATCTGTGGTTGCTCTTCTAGATCAGGAATTGAAGCGTCATACTCATTATCATCAGTATTTTTCTGCTGTGCTTCTTCGAGGCACTCAATTCGTTCAGATTCAGTTTCTGGGCATATTTTAGCCCATGCATCTTCTAATTGCCCACATTCATCAAGTAGTTTTGATGCAGTCTCAATAGCATCAGCCTCTTTCTCGAATAAGGCTCGATTTCTGTCAACAATCAATTTCACTTTTTCCAATGGTGCATTTCCCAATTTAACTGCTCCATCATGATAAAAATTTTCAAAAAATTCAAACCCAACAGGTTTCAATTGTTTATCAATGCGATATGGGAGAAAAAGTTGCAATATACTCTGATAATATTTCTCGGGATTCTTTGTCACTGAAAATCGTGCATATCTTACAACAGCAGGCTCACTTCTAGATCTTTTTTGCATATGACCAAGGTCCTTTTTTAATGTTACTGCTGGATTTCTTCTTTTGTCATTATTGACATTTGACATTTCAAATGTTGAAAGGATTCTGTATTCTGAGCAGAATGCAGCAAGACACAAACTATCAAAATCTTGTCCATCTGGTCTAGCTTTGTATCTGTCAACTATGCTAGTCATCCATATATCCTCTTCATCTACATCAGCGCCTTCATTTTTCTTTCTGATGACCTCAAATGGCAAACTCATTTTAATAGGATTGTCTCCAGTAGGAATAAACTGGACTTTTCGTGATGACTGTTTCAGCTTTAAATTACATACTCTATATACAGCCTCTTGGGCACTAACTTCTCTGTTTTGGAGGTATACAGTTCCCAACTGTTTTAATGCTTTCTTGGCATCAACATTGCCTTCATTTGTAGCTTCTTTTTGAGCATGATCCAACAATAACCCCATCTCTCGTTCTGCTTTGGAAATGTAGGAAACAATATATACAACACAGGAATATGCATCAACAACAAACTGGATATCCATATTGGCATCCCAACAACGGATTAAATCTGCATTATACTGATTCACCCATACATCATTTGGCTGCCGTTTCAAAACAACAGATGTTTTTTTCGTTAATAATCTATTTGCCTTTTCAAAGATTTCCTGAGAAATTCCTATATCCGAGAATAAGGAATCTACACTTTCATATTCCTTTTGGTTATCAGAAAGAGCTTTCCAAACATTTCCAAGAATTTTCTTTGCACTTTCTTTTGTCATGGACAATTTATGTATTCCCATATCAGAATCTTCGTCATCAGTTACATCAGAATCTTCTTCTAGAACGTTTTTTAATTGCAACTCATCTGTTTCACTATCAGGTCGACAGATGAATGATCTTGTGCAAGGAGGTCGTGGAAAATTGAACCTGCAATTCGTGCCTTTCTTCTTGCAAGATTTTGAATGTCTTGTGCTGTGTTTTTGGACTTTGTTTACAATCTCATGTAATTCTGAATCCTCATCTTGAGAAGGCATATTACAAGTTACATACTTGTCAACAAAATCAACCACTTTATCATCAGCATCATTGTCAACAATTGGAGCATTGTCAACCCAGAATAAGCAATGCGTGTGTGGTGAACCACGTTGTTGAAATTCTACTCTGTAAAAATAGTCTTTAATATGCC